GTGCAGAGCATCCATGAGCACTGCAAACTAGGACATTCTGCAAATCAGGAGGCTCCTTGGAGGTCAGTTTGCAAGGCTCATGGATGCTTCTGCACCTCCCTCCCTCGTTAACAAGAATAAATATAATGTTACAGTTGTGAATTGCAAAAATGCAAGTGCCATATTTAAATATGGATGACACTTACAAATTAATGTGTTTTATATTTTTTTAATTTTCTCATGTTGTAGGTAATGAAGATGTCGATGTCGAGGATGGGTACGACTCTCCAAGGTAAAATAAAGGTTTTTTGGTTTTCATTTGTTCATGTTGAATATTTTTTTCCTTTTTTGTATTGAAACTTTAAAATTTAATCTTTTCGTTATTTTTATTCATGAGAGTTCTTTTATATTTTTGACTCCTCCCAGGCCCCCCCCCCTCTAATCGCACTCATTATCAGGCTCCAGTTTAGAGGATAGGATAGTGTAGCAAACCCAGTTTAGAGGATAGTGAAGCAGACCCAGTTTAGCGGATAGTCTAGCAGACCCAGTTTAGAGGAAAGTTTAGCAGACCCAGTTTTGAGGATTGTGTAGCAAACACAGTTTAGAGGATAGTGTAGGGGACCCAGTTCAGAGGCTAGGTTAGCAAACCCAGCAGGATAGTGTAGCAGACCCAGTTTAGAGGATACTGTAGCAAACCCAGTTTAGAGGATAGTGTAGGGGACCCAGTTTAGAGGGTAGTGTAGCAGACCCAGTTTAGAGGATAGTGTAGGGGACCCAGTTTAGAGGATAGTGTAGCAGACCCAGTTTAGAGGATAGTGTAGCATACCCAGTTCATAGGATAGTGTAGCAGAACCAGTTTAGAGGATAGTGTAGCAGACCCAGTTTAGAGGATAGTGCAGCAGACCCAATTTATAGGATAGTGTAGTTAACCCAATTTAGAGGATAGTGTAGCAGAACCAGTTTAGAGGATTGTGCAACCTCTTTTAGGAAAGGGGGGAGGGAGAAGGTGGTCATAAAATTCTAACATTTTTCTATTTTTTTCTCACTTATTTTTATGCTAACTTTTAATCAAACATTCAGAGATAAGGAACATTTTAAAGATTTCTTCATTTATAACTCGGATTTGAGGTTTGAGAGCAACTCATTTTCCCCCTCTAATTCCAAACACTTAATATGACTTTTACATAAAAATAACCAAATTCTCTGTATACTATTCCGGTTAGAATTGTGCGCTAATTAAATTTTAATTAATTAAAACCAGTGTTTCTGATCCATATCATTTTGATTTGGATCCGGATCCGCGGATCCGCATCCGTGATGATGGATCCGGATCTGGATCCGGATCCAAGGTAACTTTTGATTCTGTGAATTGGATTTTCCCTATTAAATGTTATGCAAGGTTATAATTTATAAACTATAGTAATCCTAAAGTTAAAAATGTCGTCATTACTATTATATAAATGTAAACATTAAATTATTAAAGATAATTTTGGAAAATTTTCGTCATGTAAATAATACATTTACGAACCATTTTGATTTATTTATTCCATGGTTTTGGTTAATTTTTGGCGCTACCCGGATCCATATCAACGTTTCCTGATACGGATCCGGATCCGGATCCGAAACACTGTTTAAAACCTATTTTATGCTAAATTCATACATATTTAAAGATAAGTATTAAATTGTGCGATAATAAATGATATCCTGTTGTAGGTTCGGATTCAAGTGTAAGAACACGGTGGGACGAGGGCTCCGAGGATGAGGTGGAGGAGGTTGAGGTTGGATTTGGTAATTAAATTAGTAATAATAATACAACACATTTTAGTTTCCTTGCATAATTTAGTTATGGCCCATGTCACACAAAAAGTGTAGCTACAAATTTGTACAAAATATGATACCGATTCTAAATCTAATTTAGTTTCTTCTGTAACTTTGTTTTTGGCGAGTTACTTCGTTTTTTCTCGGGACAACTTTTAAGGAAAGAAAATTTAAAACTGGGGAATAAAAATGTATTTTTTAGTAACGGTATAATTTAGTTATGGCCCATACCACAAAAGAGTAGCTCTAAAAATGTGTTTAAAATATACTGGAGAAACAGGATACTGGATTCTGTAACCAAATACTGAATACTGGAAATCTATTCTCCTTGATCTGACTTTGCTTGGAGCTAATGTGTCCTGAAACTTGTAGGACGGGTAGGATCTTTTCTTTCCTTGCTCCAACCTTGTCTGAAACTCCGGGTAGGATGGGTTGGATTTTTTCTCCACTTGCTCCGACCTTGCCTGGAGTTAACCATTCGTGAAACTTCTGGTATCCAGTATACTAAATGTAGTATCCTGTATTTAGTATCAAGTATCCTGTATCCAGTATCCTGTTTCCAGTATCCTGTTTCCAGTATCCTGTATCCAGTATCCTGTATCCAGTATTCTGTATCCTGTATCCAAAATTTTTAATAAATTAAATAATCTATTTTAATTAAATTTTACAATATTTTTAAATTTCAATATGATATCAGATGGAAACATTTTGAGACTTATATATTTCTTGTTTTTAATTCTTTCTTCTTGATCTTCCATTCCTTTTCCATCCTTCAATCATACTTTGGCTAATTTTGAAAATAAAAATAAATGAATTTTTAAAATGTTTTCTGCAGCTACGCAAATTGCAGAGGCAGAACTATTTCTCCCCCTTGTTTGTGTTTAAATTTTGCTTCAGTCATGATACTGTGTCAGCTCCTGGCATTCTTAGCAATAACATTTTCTTGTTTGAGGGGGAGAGGGATAAGGGGGCGTTTTACACATTTTTCAGTTTTTTATCTCAAGTAGGACATAGAGGGGGGGATGGGACATCTGCCATCCTGTGTATTTGTCTTTAATTGCTATCGGTGAAGAAAATAGATAGTGTAAAGGTCAAATCCCCTTCTAATTTTTCCTGTTTAAAGTTTTCTTCTTCTTTCTTGTTTATCTTGCTTTAAGCACCCATCTTGTAGTTAACTACTCTTTTCTTGTATAAGTCTTGAGTAAAATTCTCAAATAAGTTCATTTAAATAACATTACTGAACCCAAATAGTAAAGTGAAACTTAATACTAAACAAACAATCTTTACTTGGCAAAATGGATATCCAATACGTTATAAATATTATTGAAATTTTAAACATTTCAATAGTGATAAATAAACTAAGGAGAAAACAGACTGTCTTAGAATATAGTACCATAAACTTATATAAGGCACGACTACTTTATTTAGGTGCCGGGGAACCCCCATTGTTGTGATCCTTGTTTATAAAGATGACATATTGCAAAGAA